CCAACAACCAACCAACCAACCAATCATCAACCAACCAAATCAATCCATCAACCAACCAACCAATCAATGAACCAATCAACCAACTAATCAATCAATGAACCAATCAACCAACCAACCAACCAACTAATCAATCATCGACCAACCAACCAATCAATCATCGACCAACCAATCAAACAATCAACCAGCCAACCAACCAACCAACCAGCCAACCAGCCAGGCAACCAGCCAACCAACCAGCCAACCAGCCAGCCAACCAACCAGCCAACCAGCCAGGCAACCAGCCAACCAACCAGCCAACCAGCCAGCCAACCAGCCAACCAACCAGCCAGCCAGCTAGCCAGCCAGCCAACCAGCCAGCCAGCCAGCCAGCCAACCAGCCAGCCAGCCAACCAGCCAACCAGCCAGCCAGCCAACCAGCCAGCCAACCAGGGAATGCATCTCTCATTGGCAGAATGCTTGCTTGGGTGATGTGAGTGAGAATGGACCCCACAGGCTATACACTTGAATGCTCAGTCACCAGGGGACTGTGTGAACGGATCAGAAGGATTAAGAGGTGTGGATTTTTGGAAAAGGTACGCCACTGGAGGTGGGCTTCGAGGTAACAAGAGCCCATGCCAAACCCACAATCTGCCTGCCTGCCTGTTTCTCTCTCCGTCTGTCTCTCCATCTGTCTCTCTCCTGTCTCAGCTGTCACTCTCTGAACTGTCAGCCGGCCCCACTAAACTCTTTCTCTTAGGAGAGTCACCTGGGTCATGGTGCCTTTTCACACCAACAGGACAGTGACTACGACACTTGCTTCACGCGGGTCCGTCCCCAGCTCCTATAAACTGGGTGTGGTGTCCGCATCTGTGACCCCAAAGCTTGGTGGGCAGAGCTGGAGACCAGCTTAGGACACACACGGCCATGCCAGAAACAAAAAGAGGCCTGTGGTGCTGCTCGCCTGTAATCCCCGCACGCGGGAGGCTGAGGCAGGGGGAATCTCTGAGTTTGAGGACAGCCAAGGCTCCACAGAGAAACTCTGTCTTGAAAAACAAACAAAAAGGAAGAAAGGAAAAATGCGGGCGAGAGAGAGAGAAGTGCTGGCCGGCTGACCCAGCAGACAAAGGCACTGGGCCTGTGAGCCTGACAAGCTGTCCTCCGACCGCAGCATTCCCGAGTGTGCCTGACCACCCTCACGGAAAAGATCTGAGAAGAAAACAAATGCTGGGCACGGAGGCGCACGCCTGTAATCCCAGCACTCGGGAGGCAGCGGCAGGAGGGTCTCTGAGTTCCAAGGCCAGCCTGGCCTGAGTGAGTCCAGGACAGCCAGGGCCATACAGAGAAACCCTGTCTTTTTTAATTTTATTTTATGTGCATTAGTGTAAAGGTGTCAGATCCCTTGGAACTGGCATTACAGACAGTTGTGAGCTGCTATGTAGGTGCTGGGAATTGAACCCGGGTCCTCTGGAGGAGCAGGCAGAGCTCTTAACCGCTGAGCCGTCTCTCCAGCCCCAAGAAACCTTGTGTTGAAAAACAAACCGAAACCATAAAAACAGCAGAAGAGGATGACGGGGAAGTCCAGGCAGAGCGAGGACGGCCCTGGGGTCAGGCCCTGGTCACACCAAAGACAGGGTTAGTAGTGAGCAGCTGGCCGGGCTGTGTCCCCAGCGGTCTCCCAAGGAGGCTCCTAGGCTGTGCTTGGGCCCTGTGAGCGCAGGCTACCGCCAGGCGAGTCAGCTGTGCTCCCCAGAGGGTGCGCGCACCTGAGAACGAGCTTCTACACTCCCTGGTACTACATGTGAGTGTTTTGCCTGTGTGTGTGTGTGTGTGTGTAGCACAAGCTCACTCACGCCTGATGAGCTGGGTCCCCGGGACCCTGAAAAGCTACTCATGATGACGTGGGTCCAGCGCAGGGAGGCGGAGACACACCTGGCCGATCAAGGCGCTCAGGCCAGCCCCAGCCAGCCCCAGCCAGCGAACAGCACACACTAGGACAAACACCTCACAGCCAGACATCAGACACCAGTGGAGGCAGGAGCCGGAGGGACTGACAGGCTGTGCCGTGCGGGCTGGAGGAGGCCGCGGCGGGGAGGAGGCGGAGGAGGCCGCGGCCTGGCCGCCAGCCGCCGGCTTCCCCTCTGGCCTCGCAGACACCTGCGCTCCCATGCTCGGATCTACACCTACACACGTGTGTCCTTCTGCACACCCCCCCACACACACACCGCACACTGATCACGGCCCCAGCCGAGAGGCCCGGAGCCCAGGCCCCTCCGGCATACACACGTGTCCTCCTGCACACACTGATCCCGGCCCCAGCCGAGAGCCCCGGAGCCCAGGCCGCCCGCCCTGCCCGGAACTCACGCTGCCGAAGTACTTGTCCAGCAGCTCCACGTAGCGGTGGATGAGCTCCAGCGTGATCAGCTCGTTGTCCTGGCCCTCGATGGCGCAGCAGAAGTACAGGCTGGCGTACCTGTGGGGCGCGGCGTGAGGGGGGCTGCCGGGCCCTCCCGAGCCCCCGACACGGCCTCTCTGTGGGCACGCCACAGACACGCCAGGGTGCGCCCCTCCGCCGCCCTCCTGCCCGCCCGAAGCTGGGCCGTTTGCACACGGGTGTGCGCGTGTACTGGGAAATGGGGGGCAGGGCTAGTACAGACCAAGCCAGGGGGACTGGAGGTGCTGGGGGGGGGGGGCGAGTGTGCAGGTCTGTGCAAGAGGCCGAGCCACACACCAAGGAGGAAAGTCATTTCTTCTCGCTGCGCAGCCCGCACGGGCCTGGAGCTGGCCCCTTGGAGGCCGCTTTTCACTTCTTTCTCCTTCCTCCCCCGAGTCCTCCCTTCCTCCCTCCTCCCTTCCTGTCTACCCGTCTTTTCGGAGCCACTCAGCCCAGGTGGCCCCACACTCAGCCCAGGTGGCCCCACACTCAGCCCAGGTGGCCCCACACCCACTGTGCAGCGGAGCGGAGGCTCTGGATTTTCTGAGCCTCCCGCCGCCTCCCCCCAGGGCTGGCCTCACGGGCGCGTGCCGCACGCCTGCCTCATGCCAGCCGGGGATGGGACCCTGCGTGCAAGCACTGCGCGGCCGAGGAGCCCTTTCAGGGTGAGGGAGGGGTGAAGGAGGAGTCGGCCCCGCCGCCCCCCCCCCCCCCGGCCCCCGAGCTGTCCATGTCTAAGCGTGCGGTGTGCACGCATCTGAGGGCACAGGCGGGCGTCACCTCTTGTAGACGACTTTCAGGTCCCTCCATTCCAGGAAGCTGCACATCTTGGGCTTCCGGGCCAGAACGACCTGCATGAGCTCCCGGACCATCTTCTTCCTCTCCTTGTCCGAGGTGGCCAGGTACCATTTCTGCAGCCGCAGCTTCCCCTGCCGGCTGAACAGCAGCATGAAGCGCATCTGCGGGAGGAGGGTGGGGTGAGGGCCGGGCCGGGTGAGGGCCAGCAGGCCTGGGGCCGGCCTCCTGCACACGAGCAGGGCTGGGTGAGGGCCGGGCAGGCAGGGCCGGGTGAGGGCCGGGCAGGCCTGGGGCCGGCCTCCTGCACACGCGCACACACAGGCTGAAACAAATGTCAAAGCGTGTTATTACACTTCTTACGTGTGTGTGTGGGTGTGTGTGTGTGCGCGTGTGTCTAGGTCAGAGGACAGCTGGGCTCCAGGGATGACAGCCAAACGCCCCGTCTCGGCAGCAGCCACCGAGCCCCGCCGGCTCTGCGAAATACTGCGCCGTCTCTGGAGCTCCGATTCTTTAGCCACAGACAGAAATAATGGCACTTCTTACAGGCGCCTTTTCGCTAACGTTTGCTTTATTACCTAGGATTTACTTCACGCTACATGTGTGACGCTCACACGCACGCGCGCACGAACACACGCACGCGCACGCCTACTGACCTCCCAGAGCGAGTTGCAGGCGGCTGTGAGCGCCGCGAGGGTGCTGGGAACCAACCCAGGCCCTCTGCAAGAGACCCGCTCCTGACCACCGAGCCAGCTCTCCCGCCTCGGGGTTGATTCTTAAGTGTGTGTGTGTGTGCGCGCGCGCGCGCATGTCCACGGAGGTGTCCACGGAGCCAGGGGCTTTGGAGCGGCTGCACCCGGGTTACAGAAAGCCGTGAGCGGCTCACTCAGGCTGGGAGCCGAGCCCGGGCCTCTGGCCGAGCAGCAGGCGCCCCTCTTCCCGTAGGGGCCTCTTACAGGAGCAGGTCGTGGCACACAGTGGACCGGGCAGCCTGCCGGGCGCTGCTGCGTCCCCCGACCTCCTGCTTCCTAACAAATGTCCGGCCTCAGGGTAAGCTGAAGACAGGCCCCACGTCCCACAGACGTCCTACCCCATGCTGCCCGACTGGACGTGGCCTCCCGCGGCCAGCCCCAGGCCGCTGCCAGCCTTCCCTGAGCACCGGCTACACAGCCGCGGTTAACCTTGCCCTCCATTTCCCCGCCATCCGTCCACACGGGTGGTCTTTCCGGTCCTGTAGGGCGGTCATTTTACACAATTTCGGGGGCGTGCTGGGCACTCGAGCGCCACTGCCTGCATGTCCGTGGAGTCTGTGCTCTCCTTCCGCCCCTGGCTCCCGGGCACTGAGCTCAGGTTGGCAGGGACGGGAGCAGGCTGAGCCATCCCTCCGGCCTCCTGAGACGGTTCCACGGGGCTTAGGCTGACCTCAGCTGCCCATGTGGCCAAGACTGCTCTTATTTAGCCACAGGTGTACACCGGACGGCCTGACCCTCCTCGCCAGGTGGCTGACAGGCAGTCACCCCCGAATCCCCACCCCCGGGGCGCTCTCCTGAGTCTCTCCCGGGTCCCCACCCCCGGGTCCCCACCCCCGGGGTCCCGTCCCCCGGCTCCTCCCCCGAGCAGGGCCTGTGGAAAAGGCAGGGTCCGCACTGCTCTGTGCCCCGGCGTCTCCAGCCGCAGGTTCCCGCACCCCGAACCCGGCTCCCGGCGGTCAGCTCCGTGAGCTCGGCCGGGGCTGGGAGCCGGGCGTGGGCCGCGCCTCCAGTTGGCGGGGGACGTCCAGGGACGCGGGCCCCGGGGCCTCCCGGCGGGGGCGGGGAGAAGCGAGGGCGCCGAGGAGGACGGGGGACGGCGGCCGGAGGAGCGGGGCCGGGAGGGCGGGCAGCCGTGCGCCGGCCCCGAGGCAGGAGGCCCGCGCCGAAGACCCGGAAGCCGGCCCTCCCGCGCGGGCGCCCGGACGGTGCCGCCGCCCTCGGGCCCGCTGCCGGCCACGGAAGCTCCTCCCGCCCGGTCCCCAGAGCCGTTTCCAGCTTCCGAGGTCTGCGCGCCGCGGCGGGCGGGCCCCCGGCGGACCGCGGGGAAGGCAGGGGCCTCCCACCCCGGGCGGGCCCCCGGCGGACCCCCGCGGGCCCCGCCCGCCCACGCCCCGCCG